GTTTTGGCTGGACTCCCAGCTTGGCTAGGCTGGTCAAGCTGGTTTTAGCTGGTCATCTCCCAGCCTGACCAGCTAAGACCGGCCTGGAAATGGCTGGAAACTAGCCTGGAAGTGGCCAAAACCCCTCTAAAACCAACCTGGTTGACCACCTAAAACCAGCCAACCAGCCTAGGCTGGTTTAAGCTGGATTTTTCAACAGGGAAGTTTTAAAAAGAGGCAGGAAATGGGGTGAGTACAGCTCTGTTTAATGGGAGTTTCCATTTGGGCACGCGCTGGTTTTCACAGAGGCAAAGCAAACAAAGCACAGGGGAGAAAGACAGTGACTGTTTACATGGACATCAGTAATCAAGTTACTTGCCAAATTATTATATCTGTGGACTTTAACTGCAGTTTGGTACTTCCACTTTCATTTAGGAACTTTTCATGCATGCCCCCTGTGACAAACGAGATATTGGGTGCGGGGAACTGCTGTAAGAGTGTAGTTATAATAATAAACCTGACTTAACGTCCACAAACCGTGATTGAAGCGTCTACATTTATAATTGTACTGATATGTGGCGGTGGTGATAAAGTAAAGACGCTAAAATCTCTGTAATATGCATTGTTTTTTTTCATAATTATTTTGGGGGTTTGACCTTTATATTTGATAGGACAGTAGAGAGAATTGACAGGAAAGCATTAGGAGCAGAGAGAGGGGAAGGATCGGCATAGGACCGCGAGGCGCAATCGAACCCGGGTCGCCGCGAGTACCGGAGTGCATGTTTTGACGCACTAACCACTGCACCACTGGCGCCAACAGTAATAAGGATTGTTTTAAACTTATTCTTGATCACATATGATGATGATTGATGATCACAGAGCGCTGAACAGATCTTTTAATCCCAGTTGCTTTGTGCAGCATTGTTGATTTAATTATACGCGTTACTACAGAGGCCTGTTAATACGCAGCTGTCAGTCAATTCGGTGTGCGGGGAAACCACAGTCCTACGTCACGTTGCGGTCAGCCTCAAAATGGGATTTGGATCCTGTTTTAACGTTAGGAAAGTAAAAAAAAAAAGAGACTTATTGTGTTTCTATAACTCCAATAGGACAGTGGACACACTATAACTGGGAAGATTGGGAAATAAAACAAACAAGAGTTTAATAATTCAGGGGGGGCTAATAATTCTGACTTCAACTTTATGTTTATATTTGACTATGTTTCATATGTCTGTCTACAGTTTACCTATACAAATCCAAAGACATGCAAAATGGAAGAAGGTTAAATTAAGCAGTGGGTAGAAATTATAAGGTGAGAGTGTTAACGTGAATGTGTGTGTGTGTGAGTGTGTGTGTGTTAGCCCTGTGATGGATTGGCCATCTGTCCAGGGTGATTCCATGCCTGAGTTACTGGGACAGGCTCCAGAATCCCTGAGACCCACAGGACAAGCGTTCGTTCAGTTTCATCCAAAGCAGATGAATGGGAATATTTTTTCGCTTGTTGTATCTCCGCAGTTCAGAAATGACAAGTCCAGAGAGTGAGGCTAAAAGGTTAATGCTGCAGCGCGTTCCAGAATAATGCATTACCTGCTCTAAATCCTATACCCTAAACCAGAGCGTTAACATAAGCAATTAAAAGAAAATTTCTGAAGCAACAAGCAACTTTTTATCTGGCATCTTTGAGCTCTGTTGTCATAAAGTACATTCAAAAATGATTTCTTGCTGCTTGTTTAAAGGACTTATTTAAAATCAGCTGAATCAACACAGTTATTGAGGACAACTTAATTGTTTTATGTTCAATAGACTTAAATTTGTAAACTATGTTAACTTAATCAATTTGTGTTGGGATAACATGAAGGAATTATGTGGAACCCACCGTTTTGTTTTTTAAGTGCACTGGGAAAAGTGTTGCATGCAGAACTGTTGCAAACAATTAATTTGTGTTGAATTTAAACAAACAAATTAGGTTTAATAATGTTTAACTTCATTTGTTTGTTTAAATTCAGCCCAAGTAAATTGTTTACAACCACTTAACGTAAAAAAAAATGACTAAATCCAAGGAATCATCTTTGAATAATTTTTTCAGTGTGTAGAGTAGTTATAAAGCTGGTTATGTAATGCAAAAAAACGAAATATTTGTCATTATATAGTACCTGAAAGTGAGAAGCATTTGAAGTTGTGGCTTTTTACTGCCAGTTTGATTCATTTCAGCTGAACACATCAGTGAAATGTACTGTATTAATAGGTACGTTGCATTACAATTCACAATTTTATTCTGGGGTGGCACGGTAGCCCAGTGGTTAGCACTGTTGCCTCACAGCAAGAAGGTCACTGGTTCAACTCCCAGGGTGGGCCAGTTGGCATTTCTGTGTGGAGTTTGCAAGTTCTCCCCGTGCTGGTGAGGGTTGCATTGGTTGAACAAAATCGTACGTAGCATGAACGTAAAAAATCAGCTTTGAAGCAAAGAGAGGACAGATCTTTATTTCACAAGAACAGACAGAGTGTCAGGGAAACACCAGCTGGAGCTCCAGTAAACAAGACCATTTCTATTATAGGTTTATAGGATATTATTTATTGCAAGATACAGATTCAGTGGGTAAATATATGTGCATGTTAGGTGCAATTAATTGTAATAGCAGACACCATATGCTCATGATTAGTAAAAATAAATTCTGTATAAAATGATTAATATTATAAGCCTCCTTTTTTTTCAATTCACTACAGAACCAACCACTGTTATCCAATGACTTGCCTAATTAACCTAATCATCTAATTAAGCCGTTTAATATCACTTTAAGCTGAAAACTAGCATCTTGCAATATAATTAGTAAACTATTATGTGCTGTCATCATGGCAAAGATAAAAGAAATTTGTTGTCAGAAATGAGTTTTTGTTGAGTGTGTAGGAAAACAATCTTTACCATATATATATAGTAAAGTATATATATTTATATATATATAAAGTATACATAAAGTGTGTATATATATATATATATATATATATATATATATATATATATAGAGAGAGAGAGAGAGAGAGAGAGAGAGAGAGAGAGAGAGAGAGAGAGAAATACGAGGACGGGAGGCAGATTTAAACCTTTCTCTAAAAGAAATAAGGATGCATGCACAAATTGAGCTTTTTCTTGATTTGTTAACTATTTTCAGATAAAATAAGACTTGTCCAAGAACCAATTCACTTAACCATTCGATCATTCATCCACAGACTCTACGGTCTACCCAATTCACCTGTACCACATGTCTTTAGACTGTGGGGGAAACCGGAGCACCCGGAGGAA